TTCGAGCAATGCATAACATACGCCTTGGTCATCCACTTCACCTAGGTCCATTTCCAATCGTCTTGACATTGTCAAGCCATTGGATCAGGATGGATACAGGCGAGCGTGTGGCTTCGACGAATTAAGCAACAATTTCTTCCTCACTTAAATCCATGTCCTTGCGCAAGTCACTACTTTCATCCAAACATTTTTCTGGGCACCCTGTATTTCAATGGCCAATCGTTTTCAATTTAACAGGCATTATTTTTCCTACAGAGGTCGAATCGAACAATAAAAGGTCGACAGCTGAAACGAGAGTTTCTGACAAAGATCGACAACTCACTGTGTTAAAGTACACATAATCATCTGGTTGACTTGGTGTTGCAGTGTAGGTTGTCGTGTTTCATCTTTTATCACAGGCAGAAATGTGATTAGAAAGGCGACAAAATATTCTCAAAATAATGATTCGCAAAGGAGACAAGAAGCCAGCGAAACTGTTCAATTTATTTAAATTAATGCCGCATCAAAACTAATCGACTTCTGAATACTTGAGAAAAGACAAACTGATTACACTCAATACCACATTGTTTGTATCCGCTATTGAGTACAACTTGCAAAAGGGTGGAGTGGCCGATACTGGTGCTACGATTATAAACTTAGAGGTTCAACGAGATATATGGGATTTGTTCTGTTGACTTGCTGCTCTGAACGATATTTTGTGTGATCTCGGTTGGTCAAGCACTTAAGAAATAAACAAAAGGGATTAGCACATGTACGGTTTCCATTGAATATGAATCTTATGCAACTGATTTCCGTACATTTCGTTGATGATGAAAACAGGTTTGTGATCTTGGTTTTTCATATTTTTGCTTTGTGTTGTTGTTGTTGCTGATGAGGTGAGTCTTTGCCATATATTCTTTTGCTATTTGGCCATTGTCTTCACTTGACCATGCTTTTTTTGTTTTATTTCCTGTGTTCTCTCTTCTAACTTATTTTCTGTCCTTCTTTTTTTTCTTTCAATTGTTCCCCTCTCCTCTTCTTTCTGTTTGTTTTTTGCTCTTTCCTTTTTAAATTTCCTCCTCCTCCTTCTTTTCTTGCTCTTCTTCTTGTTCTTCTTCCTTTTCTTCTTCTCTTCTTCTTTTTCTTCTTCTTTTTCTTCTTCTTCTTTTTCTTCTTCTTGGTCGTCGTCGTCATCATCTTCTGCCGCTGTTGCTACTACTTCTTCTAGCTCCTCTCATTATTATTATGTTTAATTATTATTATTATTGTTATTTTATTGTTATTAATATTCGGAGTTCGACGGTCTAGCTGCCAGAAGCTCGCTTGCGGATCGGAAGGTCGTGGGTTCGCTCCATGGCTGAGCCGGACTTTTTTCCAAAATGACCTTGACTCCCAGGTCGATCTAGTCTTGAGTGAGTACCAGGTGCAGTCCTGGGAAGTAAAGACGGCCGGTGTGAGGCTGGCTGACCATATCACCCATCTTGTGCCGTTGCTCTAAACAATATAGGTCTAGCCCTATATACCCAAAACGCATGAAAGGCGTGGAAAAGGGTTGTTTTATTATACATTATCGTTATCAACATCATCATTATTATTGCTATTTCTATTGTTATTATTATCATTATTGTAAGGACATTTCACTAGTCATAATGATCTATTTAAACAATAAGGTCTGCCATCATACGCCCAACGTGCCAGTGGTAGACCAATCTTCCTGAACTTTTACTTTAACTCTTTGAGTCCCAGGGGGCTTAGCATCACAGGCCCAGGGGGTAGTAAAGAAAGTAATAAAATCGGCGCATCATGCGTTCATTGGGCTTCTAGGTAGGAACCTATGAACGTATCATGCGGTCCTTGGGACTCAAAGAGTTAAAGTCCAGAACAAGGAGGTCGAAGTAGAAAATCTTGAATCAATTATAAAGAAGACAACATCAAAGAGGCACAAAGGTTATTGTAAACATATTAAAATAGACATTGATCGATAGGGACGTGAAAGGGAAAGTTGATAATAGTTCAGCTTGTCTGTCTACGGTATAACAAAGTCTGTTATAACGTTGTTTAATTCTTCTTCTTCTTTTTCTTCTTCTTATTTTCTTCTTCTTCTTAACAGTAAGTAACAAGAACAAAATAATTCTTCTTATTCTTTTCTTCTGACTTCTTCAACTTTATGTTTCTTCTTCTTATTTCTTCTTCTTCTTTCTTCTTCTTCTTCTTCTTCTTCTTCTTCTTCTTCTTCTTCTTCTTCTTCTTCTTCTTCCTTCTTCTTCTTCTTTCTTCTTCTTCTTTCTTCTTTCTTCTTCTTCTTCTTCTTCTTCTTCTTCTTCTTATGCTTCTAATCCTCCTCTCCTCCTTCTTCTTATCTTCTAATCCTTCTTCTTCTTCTTCTTCTTCTCTCCTTCTTCTTCTTCTTCCTTCTTCTTCTTCTTCTTCTTCTTCTTCTTCTTCTTCTTCTTCTTTCTTCTTCTTCTTCTTCCTTTCTTCTTCTTCTTCTTCTTCTTCTCTTCTTCTTCTTCTTCTTCTTCTTCTTCTTCTCTTCTTCTTCCTTTCTTCTCCCTTTTCTTTCTTCTTCTTTTCTTTTTCTTCTTCTTTTTCTTCTTCTCTTCTTCTTCTTTTCTTCTTCTTCTTCTTCTTCTTCTTCTTCTTCTCTTCTTCTTCTTCTTCTTCTTCTTCTTCTTCTTCTTCTTCTTCTTCTTCTTCTTCTTCTTTCTTCTTCTTCTTCCTTTTCTTCTTTCATCTTCTTCTTCTTCTTTTCTTCTTCTTCTTCTTCTTCTTACTCTTTTTCTTCTTTATTCTTCTTCTTTTTCTTTCTTCTTCTTCTTCTTCTCTTCTTCTTCTTTCTTCTTCTTCTTCTTCTTCTCTTCTTCTTCTTCTTCTTCTTCTTCTGTCTTCTTCTTCTTTCTTCTTCCTTCTTCTTCTTTCTTCTTCTTCTTCTTCTTCTTCTTCTTCTGTTCCCTATCTTCTTCTTCTCTTCTTCTTTCTTTCTTCTTCTGTCTCTTATTATTCTTTCTTCTTATTCTTCTTCTTCTTCTTCTTCTTCTTCTTCTTCTTCTTCTTCTTCTTCTTCTTCTGTTCCTTCTTTTCTTCTTCTTCCTTTCTTTCTTCTTCTTCTTCTTCTTCTTCTTCTTCTTCTTCTCTTCTTCTTCTCTTCTTCCTTCTTCTTCTTCTTCTTCTTCTTCTTTCTTCTTCTTCTTCTTCTTCTTCTTCTTCTTCTTCTTCTGTTCCTTCTTCTTCTTTTCTTCTTCTTCTTCTTCTTCTTCTTCTTCTTTCTTCTTCTTCTTCTTCTTCTCTTCTTTTTTCTTCTTCTTCTTCTTCTTCTTCTTCTTCTTTCTTCTTTCTTCTTCTTCTCTTCTTCTTCTTCTTCTTCTTCTTCTTCTTCTTCTTCTTCTTCTTCTTTCTTCTTCTTCTTCTTCTCTTCATTTCTTCTTCTTCTTCTTCTTCTTCTTCTTCGTCGTCTTCTTCTTCTTTTTCTTCCTCTTCTTCTTTCAACTATGCAATTTTCGTTCAGCACCTTTCCATTGTAGTGGACGTTTCGACCTTCAATGCAAAATGGTCTGGTATCTAATCGCCCGCAGCTGAAATCGAACAGGTTATGTCGAGTATTATTATAACATAAACAAACAATAAGGAAAATGGGCAAACAATAACACGAACAAACAGGTTTTAGAAGAACAAAGTGAATGAACAGTTTTAACATCCTGAAGCCAGTTGGCATATAATGTTAGTTTCGCTTTTTTTTTTCCATGACCAATGTGAGAGATGTGAGCCAATGTCACGCCCAAAGCTTTCGCTTCCTGGACAAATTGATACGCATATTTGAACTGAGTCTATATCAGTGTCGAGTTATGTTTTTTTTTTTTAATTTCAGGTTACAAAATTTGACTTGAGTCCAATTTAATTAACTTAGTGACAGTAATACGACTGGTTATGAACTTGACTCCTATCTTCGATAATAGCTTGATGTCTTGTGGTATTTTATAAGCTTTTGATTGTTAGATCACTGTATTGGTAATGCCTAATTCTAAATTGTTTGGTCATGTGAGGAAAAGGAGAATATTGCAGTACATCGTGACAGTAGGAAAGTTGGAGGGGAGGTGGGAGGTTAGGGAGATAAAGAGAGAACGAGAGAAAAGATGCTGGACAGTTTGACATTGTGGCATGGAAGATCATCCATGTCAGAGTTGACTGAAATTTCACGAGACAGGTTGTGGATAGACATGACTACCAACGCTGCACGGCATGGACTTTGCATAGAAAAAGAAGAAGTTTCTAAGTATGTTAATCAATATCACAGCCATCCTCACTGTATACTTTTGAAGTGAAGCGATCAGTTGTTCAATGGGAAGCACTGGTCATTTGCATTTCCTGTGTAGTTTTAAAAAAAAAATAGTTAAGTATGATTTACATGACGTTGCAGGACCAACCCCAACATATTTTGGCTGTTGTTATTTTCCTAGGCAAATGTGACATGTAGAAATTGACCATTCCTACTGCACGGTCAGCTCTCGGTACCAGTGTCGAAACCAACACGAGACACGTTATCCGCAGCTGGGATCGAACTTTGAACCCTGGTATTGTGAAACGCGTTTGCAACGCCTAAGGCGCAGTCTATGACCCCCTGTGTAGTAGATGGTCCTTATTGTTATCCAGCTCTCTTCTCCGTAGGGGCCATTTCTTTTCACATTAGTTTGTCTTCGGTGCACCATCTGCGTTGATAGTTGTTTAAGCAAGTTGTTTAAGCAATTTATTTTAATAATTACCTCATTATTATTGGTTTTTATTTCATGATGTTAATCAGCTGAAAACATTTACTTTCCAGACAACTGAGTTTCGGCAAGTATCATAGATTCAGCAACTTCATATACGGATTCATAAATCTTTCATTAGATTCAGTGTTAAGCATGATCTATAAATGACTGTTCAGTGTCATGGCCTGACAATGATCATTTTCTGACAGAAAGCTATCAGCTGACATAGTTTGCTTACCAACTTCGTACGAAAAGGCATCTGATGACTTTCACAATATGACGATCAGCAAACCATCTAGCTCACGCTCTAGCTCGACAGTGTCGCTACTAATCTCAATCTTCTACTGGTTTTCTCGTGCGTCTTGTCAGTCATGTGTGCCACAAGCCATTCCAGATATAGACCAACGGACATACAGTTCCATCGGTGATATTAACATCGGCGTCTTCATCTCAGCGTCGCCGTCAGGAGGGCCCGCGGCTTGTCTCAACATAAGTAATCCTGGATCTTCTGTTCTTGAGCATAGTGAAGCTATTGCTTACGCGGTCAGGTCAGTTAATCAGGACCCGGATTTGCTGCCCAACATTAAGTTAGGTTTCATTCAAGTTGATGACTGCGGTAATGAAAATGTAGCTTTAGCCGCAGCGCTATCTTTTTTTCCAAGAGTAATCGATCGAACTGGAAACATGGAAAGTTGCTTCGACAACTCCGCTGCTTGGATGTATCAGCAAGACAACAAAGCGATGCCGTTTTATGACGTTGTCGGCGTGATTGGACCTTCAGCTAGTCAGAGAATGATTTCGGTGTCAAAGCTGTTTGCTAGTGCGAGAATACCAGTTATAGGATGTTTGGCCAGTAGTGATGAGCTTAGTGATAAATCTCGTCACCCCTACTTCTCGAGACTGATCCCCCCTGATAAATATCAGGTAGGTGCTATGATGCAGTTCATACAGCGCAATGGATGGTCGTATATCTCTGTTGTTTATGTCAAAGACTCGTATGGTCAAAAGGGATATGACCACATTAAAGAAACATCCATGCAGTATGGAATCTGTTTAGCGTCAGCCCAGAGAGTGGGTACAGACGCCGACTTTGATACTGTGATTAGTGAGTTATTGACTTACCCTAGAGCACGAGTAGTCATCTTGTTTCTCTACAGTCAATCATCAGGGCTTTTAGTAAACTCCGTTAACAAATTCAACGCTTCTGGTCATTTTATTTTGATATGGAGTGATGCGTGGAATACTGCCTTCAAGAGACTGCCTTTGCATGCCCAAGACAGTATCTTAGGATCATTTTCGGTTGGGTTGTACTCAACATATATCCCACAATATTTGGAGTATTTAAGGCATCTTCGAGTACACAACACTACAAACCCTTGGCTTAAATCGCAGTGGGAGTATCTGGCTAACTGCTCATTGGACAGCTATGAATCATGTGATTCTGAATTTGATATCCTCACTTCTGATAGATTTGAATTTGAGAAAACCCCATCGCTTTACATAGACGCAGTTTATGCATTCGCTCATGCTCTGCATAATTTGCTCTCAGATCTATGTCCTTATGCCAAAGGAGCCGAAGCCAGACGTTGCATACAAGGAGATGTCTTACTGGGCTATTTAAGAAATATTTCATTTGATGGCCACAATGGCCATATACAGTTTGACGAGTTTGGCGACCGGAAAGGCAAATACGAAATACGAGAAATTGTGCGTGATTATAAAATTGTGCCATTTGTGAACCGGTCTTCTATTATATCTAGAGAAGCTAGAACGGTGGCCGTGTATGATGTAGAAACGGACCGTTTAAACTTTACTGAATACAAAATAAACTGGGATTATGTAAAACGCATTGAGCGGATGACCCAGCTGCCAGAAGACAGTCCTTTCTGGGGCATTCCTGAATCTGTCTGTAGCATAGCTTGTCGAACCGGCGAGTTCAGAATTCAAAGAGAACCCTATTGCTGTTGGGACTGTCGCAAATGTAGAGACAACGAGAAGGTCTCCTTCGACGGTACGAGTTGTGATGAGTGTGATCTGCTGACTTGGCCTGACAAAGCCTCTGGATACACTTCATGCACTACCATCACTCCAACATACCCCCTGGTTAAGGATACAATACCATTAATTCTGACATGCCTTGGACTCTTCGCACTCATTTGTGTCACCCTGGTTGTCATTGGATACATTTACTTCCGGAACTCCCGAATCATTAAAGCATCCAGCCGTGAGCTCAGCATATCCCAAATGGTAGCCATATATGTAGGCTACATTACCATAATTATATTCCAAACTCCGCCCACTCACGAGTCATGTGGTGCCGCATACTTCCTGTTCTGCTTCAGCTTTGCTCTGCTGTATGCGCCGCTTCTTCATCAAAACAATACGTGTCTTCAGGATCTTCCAGAGCGGCAAGAAGCACAACCAACGACCTGTTCTAATCAGCCCTATATCCCAGATGGTCATGGCAGGAATTCTCCTAGCATGTCAGGTATGTATTCTAATATAAAAATTATTGTATTCAAAGTGATTAAGGAGGCGAGGAAACCTTAGACGAACGTTGACAGGGGAGGCTAAAGCTGCTGGACCGGATATAGAACTCATTGCACATGATAGAACGGAATGGACGGGTAGACTGCGAGCCCTTTTTTATATATAATGGTGCTACAGGATAATGAATGAATGAATGAATGAATGAATGAATGAATTATTTTATTCAGGTATCACCAGCCACGTATAACTCAAACTATCACATTTAAATGTTAACACAGTGCTAGATCCGATAAGGAGAACTCAACGAGGACCGAAGAAATGGGTTTTCTTGTCAGAAACTGATCTTATCTGGTGTAATAAGTGGTGTGTGTTTCTTCTCGTTGTCTAGGCTGTGTTCATGCGTGTGTGATGGATGATCTTCTCACACGCTCCACGTTACACAACTGGCACAAGCCGACACCGATGTGAGCTTACGAGACATGAATTTTTTGACGTATTTACACTTACAACAAAAAATGTCTGGTCGGTGTCCTAGTGGACAGCTCTCGTACCCAAACTCACGCAGCCTTCAACGAACAGTCGTCTTCAAGCATTCACTGACCAACGTTGGCTCCCATGGATTATGTTGACAGATTCTGGTCATCTCACACATGGCATGTCGATCTCAGCTTCACTTCGTCGGCAGGGTCTCCTTTCTTCACAGGCACTCACGTAGACAATCTCACATTCAGCCGCACGTCCTCTCACTCAACAGGTCGACACAAACTAAACTTGACCAGAGTCAAGTCTGACTTTATACCACGGGTTCGTTTTACGTGGGATACTAAGTGGTGGTCCTTTACCTTTCAAGGGCGACCTTGGGCAGCATCAACCCGTGATAACCAGTGGTTAGTCACCTATACTCCAGGTCTCGTTTATCCAAGTATTGGACTATCTCGGTGTTTTAGATCAGCTTTGGCCTTCCCCCCCCCCCCCCCCAACCATCCATAACACTGGGTGAAAATGTCCCCCATTACATCCGGAAACAGTGAGAGCAAGAAATATTGTCAAGGATAAACAAATTGTTCTTCACAACAATTCGCCACATCCGAGAATGCCTCAAACGGTCTGCACCATATTAATTTCGGCATCCGTGAAATGTCATCACTGAATGTTTGTGTCCATCTACTGGCCAGTCTGCATATACTATACCGTCATATATATATATTATATATATATATATATCTATATATATATATATATATATACTATATATATATATATATATATAATTAATTCGTTAAATATGAACCAACATGTCATATAGTTCTTGGTCCTTTCAAAGCTAATATTATATTCTTGTTGACTTCTCTTGTGTCTGAAATATGTATGTAGCTATTCATTAGCCTCTCTGTTCAACACCTTTATACCTAAATATGTACTGCTTTAAAGCTAATCTCTGTGGGATACTAAGTTAGTTGCGTATCCTTTACAGGACGTTGCAGAACCAACCCCAACAGCCAGGCCCCTGGCTGTTGTGTGGTCTCTCTAGGCAAATTACGTCCAGTAGTTTGCCATTGCTTTCTGGTCGGTCGGCTTTCTTGATACCACTGTTGAAACCAACGCAAGGAGCATTGCCCGCAGCTGGGATCGAACCTGGCATCCCGGCATTACGAAGCGAAGCGTTCACATCGACTCAGCCACAGGGTCGACCTGTGGGATACATAGAGTTGAAAAATAAAAATAAAAATAGCTTGGGACTGAAAGTGTAATCACTCGATCTTCTAACGTTTCACTTGTCCTAGCTCACTGCGTCACTCTCTGTTTATTGTCTGTCTGCGAAGAAAGGCAAGACCGCACGCTAGCAGTATTTATTTGCGTTTCATGTGCATGGATATTAGATAGCCAATTGAACCCTAAGCTGTTACCTTCTGTAGTTTTTATTTTTAATTTTATTTTTATATTTGTAACACTGTCCAAATTTGTGTGTGCTGATGAAGACTTTTTTGCCGTAACAGTATTTTTTTTCTTTCTTTATTGTGTTTTAGTGGGAAGCTGGATTTTACAAATTTAAGCGTGCAGTCTAGCTGAACATACATATCCACTTATACATGCAAACTTGTTGACACCAGTAATATACATAGTTCATTATTCAACACCATCATCATCAGCATCAACATCATCAAGTGGTTTGCCAACAGAAATCGTCTTCTCCTCATTTTGCAAACACCAACAACACGAATTACTCCATGTGCTCACATTTCCATTATTGACTTATTTACAACTTTTGCCATTAACGCTTGTATTTACCACTTTTGCCATTAATGACTGTATTTACCACTTTTGGCATAAACAACTGTATTTAACACTTTTGCTATTATTGACTTTATTCACCACTTTTGTCATTAACGACTGTATTTACCACTTTTGCTATTATTGACTGTATTTACCACTTTTGCCATTAATGACTGTATTTACCACTTTTGCCATTAATGACTGTATTTACCACTTTTGCCATAAACAACTGTGATTTAACACTTTTGCCATTAATGACTGTATTTACTAGGGCTGTACCGAATATTCGCTTCGTATTCGCTTAGGGGCCGAATAGTGGACCTAAAAACTATTCGGTATTCGGCCGAATAGTTGTGGTCGGGCCGAATACGAATAGTGGTTACCTTACACCCGTTCCTGGACTGGTAGAAATTAAACATATCAAGATTTCCCAACTTGGTTCATACTGTCCAGCGTTATCTCTGTGCACCACTTACGAGCGTACCAAGTGAACGTCTGTTTAGTACAGCTGGAAATACCTTCAGTGAGACAAGAAGCTGTCTTAATGCTGACAACATGGAACGATTTGTGTGTGTATGGAAAGCTTATGCCGCTTTCATGGATTAATTAAGCTGTCAGTGACAATTTACATGTTTAGTTACTTGTTATAAAACTAAGAATACTTTCACTCCAATGTATTAGTTACCACAGACTGACTGACTGAAGAATGCAAAACATGAAATGTATTTACAAATTGAACGAACATCGAACCGAAGCTAGCAGTGCTTATTACAAGAAGGCTGGTAAACCAGCAATGAACTGGGTCGAGCAGTGCTCACTACATGAAAACTGATGAACGAACATCGAACTAGAGCGAGCGGTGCTCACTACGAGAAGACTGGTGAACGAACATCGAAATAGGGCGAGCGGTGCTCACTAGAAAAAGACTAGTGAACGAACATCGAACTGGGGCGAGCGGTGCTTACTATAAGAGACTGGTGAACGAACATCGAACTGGGGCGTTCAAGTGCTCACTACAAGAAGACTGGTAAACCACATCGAAATGGGGCGTTCAGTGCTCACTACAAGAAGACTGGTGTACAGGCAATGAACTGGGACAAGCAGTGCTCACAACAAGAAGACTGATGAACCTACATCGAACTGGGGCCGGCAGTGTTTATTACAAGAAGACTAGTGAACAAGCAATACACTGGAGCGAGTAGTGCTCACTATGTGAAGACTGGTGAACGAACATCAAACTGGGGCGAGCGGTGCTCACTACAAAAATAATGGTGAACGAACACTGACCTGGGACGAGCGGTGCTAACTACAAGAAGACTAGTGAACCAGCAAAACACTGGAGCGAACAGTGCTCACTACATGAAGACTGGTGAATAAACATCAAACTGGGGCGTGCGGTGCTTACTACAAGAATTCTAGTGAACGAACATCGAACTGGGGCGTGCGGTGCTTACTACAAGAAGACTGGTGAACGAACATCATACTGGGGCGAGCAGTGCTTACTACAAGAAGACTAGTGAACGAACATCAAACTAGGGCGAGCGGTGCTTACTACAAGAAGACTAGTGAACGAACATCAAACTGGGGCGAGCGGTGCTTACTACAAGAAGACTAGTAAACGAACATCAAACTGGGGCGTGCGGTGCTTACTACAAGAAGACTGGTGAACGAACATCATACTGGGGCGAGCAGTGCTTACTACAAGAAGACTAGTGAACGAACATCAAACTAGGGCGAGCGGTGCTTACTACAAGAAGACTAGTGAACGAACATCAAACTGGGGCGAGCGGTGCTCAGAGATGTGGTATTACAGAACAATGCTTAAAATACCATGGACAGCCAAAAGAAACCAAGAAGTTTTGATAGAGGCGGGAGCCCGAAGACAACTCCTCACAGACATCAGGAGGCGACAGTCATCATTTTTCGGCCAATGTTATAAGATGAGGGAAAATGGAACACGTGTTTACCACCGGAAAGATATGTGGAAGGAGGGATAGAGGAAGAGAAGATTCTTGACAGTCTTGTTGCATGGCATTGAGGTGTGTCAGAACACGAACTAATACATGCTGCAGGAGATCGCAGATTGTCGCGAGGCATAATCGCCCATACAATTCGGCAAAGCACCTGATGATAATGATTCACTATTCGTATTCGGCCGAATAGTTGGTCCAGATATTCGTATTCGGCCGAATAGTGCCATAGTATTTACCACTTTTGCCATGAATGTATTTACCACTTTTGCCATTAATGACAGTATTTACCACTTTTGCCATAAACGACTGTATTTACCACTTTCGCCCTTAATGACTGTGTTTACCACTTTTGTCATTCATGACTGTATCTACCATTTGTGCCATTAATGACTGTATTTACCACTTTTGCCATTAATGACTGTGTTTACCATTTTGCCATAAATGACTGTATTTACTACGTTTGGCATTAATAACTGTATTTACCACTTTTGTCATAAATGCATGTATTTACTACTTTTGCAATTATTGACTGTATTTACCACTTTTGCCAATAATGACTGTATTTACCACTTTTGCCAATAATGACTGTATTTACCAATTTTACCAATAATGACTATATTTACCACTTTTGCCGTTAATGACTGTATTTACCGCTTTTGCCATTAATGACTGTATTTACTACTTTTGCCATTAATGACTGTATTTACCACTTTTTGCCATTAATGACTGTATTTAACGCTTTTGCCATTAATGACTGCATTTACCACTTTTGCCAATAGTGACTAT